TGATGGTGTCCAATCGCTTTCCAAATTTCATCCTCCATATCACATGTAACTTAATAGTTAATATATACAATTGCAGTATCCACAAACTGAGTTAAAGTTCTAAAGCAACAATAATGCATTCCCTGTTATGAAATAATAAAATAATGTATGTGAATGACTATTTTGCCCTCGATGTATTTGTATTATTACAAATTGTGCCATCAGGAGTTTCCTATAAATAGGAGCTTCAGTTATAATGAAAAACACACCTAAGAGAATACATTTTCTCTATTCTCTCTCTTTCTCTCTAGTTTTATAACACGTTATCAGCACGAGTTTCTACCCTCTAGAGCTCGATTTGTAATATGACGAAAGTATGCTCTACAGTTGCGTCTTATAGACGATCCTCTGTATCAGAAATTCGATTATTACTTATTGTTCTTCTCTTGAATAAAAACTCCATATGCCAAAATTTTGAATTTGACCTAATCAATTTCATTACTTCATTTCGGTCAAAGCTATCCTTCAAGAACCACCATGCTTAAGCATAGTTGAAAACTGTAATCATTTACATATAACTGTTGTGAGTATATACAACTTCATATAAAAGAGATAGAGAGAAAAATGGTGGGAGTGTTTAACAGCTCAAATTTAGGTCCTTTTTTGCTAATTTGAGTGTACCTCCAAATGGGTTTATAAACCAGCTCTGGGACGACACGGTCACGGGCCCCCGGCCCGACACCGACCTTAGCAGACCCTATAAACACTCGACCTTTAATTTCTAACAAAACTCTGCAAGGAATCAGAAGTTGTGAACGGTGGAAGATCGATCGAAGAGAAAGCCGGCAGATGTGGTGAGGGTAACGAGAAGCATAATGATCAGAAGGACTCACTTCCGGTTTCTCCCGTCGCCCACTCCATCGGTACCCTCCTTTGCCGGGTTTTCAGTTACATAACAACTTCTTGTAGATGATTCCTCTTACGGGCAGCCTTGTTTTCTTAATGGGAATTGGGAATGCATAAGCTCCAGTGGTCAGAAAGGTAAAAAAATATGAATGGTTCGTTTGGTAACATTATCTTGTTTTTCTATACTCCGCACATCTCTATTCCTGAAGATAAAACTATCATGTGGTCATCTGGCCCATATTTGGCTATTTGTGGGTGAGAGCATTTATGGCATTTATTTCACTGTTCATGAATTAAAAACAATGCCACTGATGGTCCACATTATGGCCTTTCATTTATTTGCACACTATTGTTTGCAAGAAAAGAGCACATGAGATAATCTTGGTTCATTCACCTATTATTTATCATCTTTCTACAGACATATTATTGTGCACGGACTTCTAGGAATGCAAAAGACCAAATATCAATAATGACATTTTCATATCATACATTTTATACAAAGTAGTGATTATCAAAATTCAGTTTTCTCTATTTCGCACTATCCTATTTAATTAGAGCTTCGTTTTAAGATCAATATTGATATGGTTTATTATATCATATGATTATGAAAAATACTTTAATTATGGTATTGTGAAAATTATTTGATACATGAGCATGTGCATATTTATGGATTGGATATTGTAATATTTGGTACATGAACATGCGAATATTTATGGATTGACCATTGTGATATGAAAAAAAAAAAAATATGTGTGGCTATATAGATTAGCCAGTGCGGTTATACCGCCGGCAAACAATATTCAATGGTAGCCGACGGGTCAATAATAACCGGTGATGTGGAATGGCCTGGTGGTAAGGCCATGGACAACAAAATATGAATGGCTATATATATACATGGGCCGGCCAGTGCGGCTCTGCCGCCGGCGACGGGAAGTACTAATTAAGCAATAGCCGATGAGCGAAATGAACGATACTTTGTATCTAGCCATATGAAATGTTGATTAAAGTCCTGATTGTGAACGAACATGATATGGAGTTACCTGTTCCTGAAAAACAGTTGATAAATTCTCCAGGATTTATTAATGGAGAAACAAAAATTGATGAAGTAGTACCGGAAGTTACTACTTAATGAATAAATGATATATGGTATATTGGTACTGGAAGCTATCAGGTTATGATTAAACAAAGTGATGAAATGATACCAGAAGCTACCATTGGATGATTGAACAAAATGAGAAAGTGGTATTAAAAGCTACCAGCTATGGGTGATCACACAAAAATGATTTCTCAATATATTATATAAGTCTAAGGGGCTATATCAGATGACGAGATCACATTGGGATACGAGATCATACAGATATTACAATAAAGTGATCCGGAAGAAGCACAAATGATAATGATTGTAGTCATGAACTACTATACACTGAGAAAAATCGAAATTGATATTATTATTACTGAGAAACAAGTACAAAATGTTCAGATGGTGGAAATATGGAAAAGAGGCAGTAAATACTCGATGAATACAA